AGATTGGATGATGATCGCGTTATGATGTGAACTGATTAAACTTGGAAGTGTAGACAGATAGATCTCAATCTTTTGGTCTAAAAAGAGTGCGATTGTTTAAAAATTCTATGGACCGAAACTTAATTTATGTGAATGTTGAGGATAGACATCAAGGAGCTATATACTAGGTCAAAACAGCTATTCAGTGAGCTTAAGTGAAGAATTATTGTTTGATAATAATATTTGGTTACGGTCCAGATATCATTTTTATCGTCACGTGCTATAATAGAAAAATGTAGTGTTCATGATTATAATTATGAACTGAACATCCCTTAGAGTCTGCAAAATAAATGTACACCACAAACCCAGAATAACCAATTAGCAAATGTACACTGATGGACAAACAGTTTATAAAAATAAACATGAGTATTATTTATTTGAAATGTTAGTTATTGGAGGATGTGGGGTTCGAAAATTCGCTCATCGCCCCATAAGTTCAAATTCTTCAAAGTTGCATCAATAATGAATCTAAAAATCTATGAACAATGATAAAACTAATACTAACCGATAAAAGCTTCATCGAAAACTATAATGCAATTGGTTAGACTATTGCGAATTACAAAGAAAGAGAATAATTTTAACCATTCGGAAAAAAATATCTTTTCAGCTATGAAGAGCTTAGTTCTTATCAGATTTCCTGAGTTTATAGCTATAATATTACTGAAATTAAGTATGTACTGTTATAGCAGAACATTTGTGAGAATTGTATTACTACTGTAAGGAGACGATGTCAAATACGTTTTTTTACTAACTTACATAATGATTGTAAACGTCATTTTCATGAGATTTATGGTTTCAGTGAACTTTCATGAACTTTGTAAAATGATTTGCCAAATGACGAATTTACATAATCACATATTTCAAATGTATGGATATAATACCTAGTTATAACACATTAAATTGCTTTACATACATCATTTCAGTTTCTTCACCAGATAGTTATGTCGCTGTACATTGAACTTAAATATTAGCTTACACCCCTTTAAGTATAAGTAATGTAGCCGACGAAGTGCTTATAAGAGCCGAAATGCGTACAATAAATGTTTGGTTTCCTGTTTACAAAGTAATAATTACACTTTTCATGTTCATAACAACGATTAGGTGTACAGAAACTAGATAAGTCCTATAATACTTTTAGATTTTATGATATACTATCAGAAAGCTGACACTGAATAAAAACTAGAGTTTTAGTTCAGTAAATATATACTATTTGACCACAGGTGCCTAAGAAACATTGCTCACACCTGCTGAGATCATCGAGTAAGTAATAGCGAGGTTAGACGCGAAGTATTAGGGAATAATGGTAAATCAGTTGATAAGGTTGTGAATCTTGATCGACTGAGATGGTTGGGCCACGTAATATGTATACCTGAACACCGATTACCACGACGCGCAATGCTGACTAGTGTTGGGAAAGGTTGGAAGAAAGTTGGGGGCAGCCAAATTAAAACGTGGTATCAGATGCGAGCAATATTTTTAAGGCATCTGTAGTCAAATACTAGTAGCTTACAAGTATTTTCTACTCTTAATGACCATGTTTCGCAGCCGTAAAGTAGAACAGAACGGACTGCAGCGCAGTATGCTTGTCCATTAATTGATAGACGGATATCTCGCCTTCACCATAGGTGACGTAAGTTGGCAAAGCCAAACGAGCTTTTCGAATCCGTGCTGAGATTTCGTCAGACATCAACCCACTACGGCTGATCAAACTTCCAAGATAGGTGAAGTCGTTGACACCTTCGACTACTTCACCCTCTATCCTTAGTTCAGGTGTTGACGCAAGCAAGTTCTGAAGCAACAACGTGCATTCAAATGGGAAGGGGCGCATTCCAAACATTCTGGCATTGTTGCTCAATGCTATCAAAATACTCTTCGTTTTCCCTTGAACTATGAGATTAAAGTTATTTCATGTCTTTCTTTCTACGAACTAATTCTTTCTTTCTGTATTATATCCTTACATAAAATCTTTACTTTATATATTACACCACTGAGTTAACTGCTTCTATGAATCCCGTGTTCGTCTTGCTGCGCTTATGAGATCTGGCAACTTCGACCGGTGCATGTATGTGCCTGCTCCTACGTTGTAACTGACTGACTGACTGACTGACAAATATATACTCGAGAAAAAATAAAACAGCAATTACGGCTGACTGAACCCAGTTTATTGCTTATTCTTAAGATAAATGTCTAATACTGCTTTTTTTTCAATTATATCAGTAATTCTAAAAAAATTACTGCCTGGCTGCATTTTATCAAATTGTATTGATTTGTATATTTCTCAAAATATTTCCTTCCTGTTTATAATGTACTACAGTTTATTCTGATTATAAAATTGAGAATTAGTAGTTAATATTTTGCATCTGTTTACTTACTGTCATGATTATTAACACTTATGTTACTGTTTATAATCATATAAAAGCACTAATTCAAGGTTATAATCGTTACATTGTTGTTGTGCTTTTGTTGTTGTTGATGATTTATATCAGTAGTTTTATCAAAATTACTAAGACAAAAGAGATTATACTTACTAACACTATTAGTTTGAATTGTTTTGTCATTAGTGTGCGTGTGTGTGGGGGTGTGTGTATGTGTTCATCCGATTGAAAAGTTGCATTTATTTAAAATTAAAACGTTAATTTTCAAAATTAAAAAAAAAGTGTGACAAAAAAAGGAATGAGCAAAAGTCATTGGAAAAAATAAGTGGCACCGTATTCAATGGAAGCAATTTTATTTATTTTAAATGACATTCTGTCACAAAGTATATTATCAACAAAATTGAAATAAGTATTTATTCATTTAAAGAAGAAAATTAGTTCAGTCAAGAAATTGTTTGTTATTTCTTTTTAGGAAAAAAACAACGACTGAAATTTAAAAAAATATTTCACTAGAACGATAAAAAAGAGTCTAGTAGAAAATGTTTACTGAAGACAAGAGGAAACATGAACAAAACTGAGTGTAACATAAAGTTGATTAAAACAAATCAAATAATAAGATCTGTAGGTAGGTTTAAGGTTCTAAATAAAGCTTGATTTTATATCTATAATGCATAAAAACAAAGATATCGATTTGTGTTATTTCAGTGATTTTTTTAGTATGTGGACGATTTGCAAATATTTTTTTTAATTCACAGAACATAGAGGTGTAGTTGGCTAGCTTATTTTAGGTTGATATTATACTCGCTATAAGACAAAAGTTTTATGGGTCTGCATTGCTGGGAAGCTAGAGAGAAGCAAGGGAACAGTACATTCAGGTTTTGAATGTTTATTATGTAGGAAATATAATTCTAATATAAAAGGAACTGTGACATACCGAGAATTAAATTTGTAGTGTTAAGTCGTGTTATTTCATAACTCATCCGAAAATAAATCAATAAGATTGATTACGTTAGTATAAAACTTTATGAAACTTCTATGTAATGAAATCATCTAAGAAGCAGAACTAATATCTCCTGGCAACTAATGGTCAAAATCATTCATACATTGATCAGGAGCCCCCTTATCAACTATATAATTTTGGAACATTATGAAATAGTGTTGGAGATAACTGATAAACATCAGGAATATTTCTAGAAGGATGACTCTTATCGATTTTAAAGTTGAAAACTACTATGGAAAACGTATTTTATAAGTCGATAAGAGCTTTGCGTTAGAAAAGGAGGTACTGAAGGTTTTTCCATAACGAACAATAATCAGACATTAATTATGGAAAGTCATTATCAGCTACTCGTCATGATTTATCTTCATTGAAAAACTGGGTTTTTTATGAAATGGTTGCTACAAATTTTATACATCTTTCAATTCTTGATATTATGTCAATGTAAATCACCATCTACAGATCTAAAAGAATTAAAACTACTAGTTTCAAACACCTCTGATAACTAAATGCCTAATATTTACTGTAGAAACATTCATTCAGCTACATACAACAAAAAAATCATCATGGAGATTTTAAAGTATATTATTTTGCACTTTAGGATAATATGACATTGACTGTTTTATGATGAAACAAAATGTACACAATTTATAAATTAGCAACACAAAGTGTAATGGGTTCACTTGCGAATTCTAAAACAACACATAACGGCAATTAAGAAAACGATATCGAATTGTAGTATTTTTTATAAATGAATGGTGTGAAACTTATCGACCAAATTAAATAAACCTCAAATTATAAATAAAATATACTGGTTTCTTCTTTAATCTTTTATTTTAGGTTCAGACCGTATCCATACATGATATATAGCGGTAGGTAAATGATGATGCGTCCAATTCGAAGTGCAATTAATGGTCGTTGTACCTGGATAAAACAGCACTGATTTAGAAACTAGCACTGATGTTACTTAATGTAGCAATCTTTATTTACATTTCACTGTAGAATGATATAAATGCACTGATTGTTCAACCACTGTTCTTAACAATCACAGTGTTTAGTTCATGTTAATCATTCGTGTTAATCAGATCTTTAGTTTCCAGTTAATATGTCTACCAGCCTATTCAGTATCATATAGCTTGTTTATATATTACTTTAAAAACTTTTTTTACTGCTAAAACAGAATGGAACTTTTGGTAGTAGTAGTAGTAGTAGTAGTAGTGGTAGTAGTAGTAGTAGTGGTAGTAGTAGTGGTAGTAGTAGTGGTAGTAGTAGTAGTAGTAGTAGTAGTAGTAGTAGTAGTAGTAGTAGTAGTAGTTAAAGCCTATATAAGGTATTCAGTTTTATCGGTTCACTAGCAGAGGCTTCACATCTTTTTTTAAATAATACAGATACGTAATTTTTAGGAACGAAATAATAATATTGTTAATAGTAGGAAATACACGATATTATGTTACTAGATAGGTGACGAATTATTAAAACCGACCAATCAGCCAATAAGATATAGTATAGTATTAACCAATCAGGAAAATACTTTTTATGTGAATTAAATATATATACTCCTTCATTTTATCAAACTAAAAATGCTATTTGATGAACCCTGTGAATGTTTGTTTCATTAGATAAGTGGATGACTATTAGTGTTTTTTAAGAAAAATTCCATTATTACTATTATATTCATAAACAATGAATTCACCGAGTATTTTAAAAACTACCCGTCGTTCAAGAGGCTATCGAAGTTTAAGTAATGAAATATCTAACGAGACAGATACAGAATTATCAACTATACATGACACTAATAACAACAATAGAAATACAAGACGTACCAGTACAACATCATCATCTATGCACTTTGCTACTAATCTTGTTTATAACTTATTAAGTCCTAAATATTCACCTGTATTCCGCAGTGCACGATTTAAACAAAAATCAATTCTTAAAGAGACAAATAAAAGGTCAAACAGAATTCCAAATTTGCATTCATCAATTTCTTCCGAAACATCATCTTTAGAATCATTGGATTCACTAAGTTCAACAGATCTGTTACCTTCAGTTGAAGTGAAAAAACATTCAAAGAAAGTAATTAAACAAAATGATGAAAAAGATAGAATTATGGAAGAGCAAAGGAATAATAGTTATCAACTCACGGAATCCAATCTACCTGGGAATAATAATAATAATGAACTTAATGATATAAATGGTCAACAGTCTTTGAATGTTTATGAAGGTCGACAAATCGATGATTGTCTAAGTATTGTAAGTTTTTTATTCTTACATTTTTTATCGATTTCTTGAAATTATGTTTGATGAAATAGAGTTAGTTAAGACATCCAAGGTAGGAGAAAAGCGTGTGACGTTGTTTTGCGGATAAATGATTTTATGCAGTGACACAGATATCTATTTGTGCACGTCTTTGGTAATATGATATTACAAGGTTAACGCAGACTATTTTTTACACATACTCTTTCAATTTAAAATGGAATCATTCCGAGTGAGCCATCAATTATGCTATAAAATGTCAATTTAACAGAACGTTTACATGAATTTAAGTAGTTTTTCATTCAACTCTAGATTCTATCAATGTGATTTGTGTGAACTTTAGATTTGGTATCAACAAAATGATGGTGACAGTCGTATAGTACGTAGGGATGATACATTTAGTACGCATGAAAGAAAAACTCATTGACATACTGTTAGTAATATCTGCATTAAATGCAATTTAAAATCCAATGAAAAAGACTCATTCCTGACAGGTCTTTCATAAAAGATTTCAGTTTTCGTAACAGCGTCATGATGACAAACAAATGTTATAATCAATAAATGTTTTCTTTCTGTACAACCTGAAGTGCATTTTTACTTGGATGCTTATCGAGTGCAATGCTTTTATTAGTTACCATGTTAAAATCAACAGAAAACTAACATTGCTGATTGCTTGTCCTGATAACATACTTTGTTCATCAAGTGTAAATTTGGATTTCATCATCTACTTGACTAATCTTGGAGTTATTCCTAAATCTTGTTGTCATTTGTGCATAACAATAAATTGGAAGTGAATTAATAACATTTAACACTTTTCCAAATCACAGTTAACTAATTAGGCTTATATACTACTAAATAATGGATTTCAATATACTACCAGAAATTTTCATCATTAATTAAAATTATAATTTTTATGTGACTATTTCTATTCATTTTCCTATAACTTAAGTAACTAGTTTTGTTTAAATGAACTTAATACTTTAAATAAACAGGCAAGTTAAAATGACATTAATTTCTTCCTTTATTAAGCTTATAAACTGTTAAGTCTAATTCACAAATATGTTTTTACCACAGTTTCGTATAACTTTTAAAAAATGATTTATTTGTGAGAAATTTTGACAGGCAATTGAACTCACATCTCCATATTCAAATGGATTTAAGGACTGAAATATGATTTCACACAGAAATGTTTTTCAGTGTATGATGTATTACAACAGACTGAACGAATATGCTGAATAATCATTAGTACACTGAAGTTTATTTCATACACATTGTTCCCTTTATCATCTTGAAGAGAGTTAATGATGGATTTGGCTTGATCTTGGTGGGAAAAAAAAATACAAAAACGACATGTGTAGTTACTTTTTCATACGGAGCATATCTGATTTCGAAACTGTATTAAAAATTAGTTTTCCAACGTACATGCAATTCATTAATCCAAGACAACAAGCATAGAAATTTTAAAGTTTGATTTCGCCCTAGCCTAATTCGGTGATATCAAAATTATCCAGTACACTTTAAATACTTACTGTATTCTATTTATTGATAAACATAATGAAATGATTTCATTAGCTAGTAATTACAAGATTAACAAGGACTGATTCTGTCTAAAATTACAGTGGAATAATGTACACCTTGTTGTATACTATGACTAGCAACAAAATAATACAGTTGTAAATCCCATCTTAACTAGTATCCTAATAGATGTCGGTCACACTAAAGATTTGAAGCAGTTTATTGATGAAAATACTCTAATAGACAGAAATTCTTCAAAGTAAATTTATTTGGATCATTTCTTATTTGACATATATTGGGTTTCGATGTGTATTTTAAGTTGTTCTTTTTTAATGTCACCTGATTTTAGGCTTTTTATTTCTACCTAAAATAAGGTTAAACAATTATTACATGTCTTGATACTCAAAGGGAATTAAACTGAATAGTTTGCGACGAGGGTTTGTAAACATGTTACAAATGTGATGATAATATTATGCCAGATAAATTAAAATTACCACAGTCAACAACTTCAATGGGATCATCTGAAATTTGAAAAGCATCATCATTGATTAGGTTAAAAGAAGTTTAGTATTTAGATGGAAAATTGTTTTATACATCTTTCTTTTTTAATGATTGTTTAATTTGTATAAACTCGTAACGAAATAGCTTAAAAAGAAAACTTAATAAATAACTCGTTTATTCTAATCAAACTATATAATGCTTAATTGACAGATTAGACTTATTAAAAATACTCAACTGAGGTCGAGTTATATTTGATTTCAAAAGTCTTATAAATATCACTAATGATGTTTTTCACGAAAACGGTTGATTTCAAATTTTTATCTGACTTTTTTAGTATTATAAGATTAGACGTTTCTAAGTCACCACTCACCCTGGAAAAATGTTCCATGAAATATTTGTGTAACATAAAAACATGCAACGTTTACGTCTTTTTTTTCAGTTCACATAAATACCCAGTGTTGTTTTATCTTGACACTATTTATGAAATAATAATAACCAACAATAAATTGTACGTGAAAGGGTAGCTCTAATGCTTGTAACTAATATTATGAAGACATCATAGGATGTTTGTATACTATATGATAGAAAATCACTTGTTTCTAATATTTAAAAGATTTAATAATTTTCTACTGATCATTTAAGCTCTTTTTATAGGCGGCAACTAATGAGCTTTATCTCTAATTCTCATATAAACATCAAAGGTGTAATATTTAATAGAGAGGTGAATTTCAAGAATTTATTCATTTTAAACTCTATGTTCCTTTAACAATTATGAGATTTTAATAACCAATTTCCGTTGTGAAATAAAAATTATGGATAAACATTAGAGACTTAAAAATAGTTTATTGAGTTTTATTAAAATAAAAAGTTATACTTTTTGTGATTCATGAAACTATTCATGCAAACCACATAGGTTCTTAACCCAAACGTTATGCACTGATATGTAGTTATATTATTATTAAATCTCATGTAGTTCAAATAGACGTTAAGATATAGTTGAGGAATAAAAATCAATTTGAATATGATATCTCTATTCTATCAATTAGCATTTAATAGATTAAAGTCACAAAACTTAGCAGCCATTCCTCATTATTCTCTTGTTCTTTTTCAAAGTGAAAGGTTGAACTTACTGCTAAATCATAATTTCTGTAAAAGTAATTATAGATTATAATTTTTAAACGTAATAATTCACTTTCATGATTATGTTCCTGTATTTTCATGGGGATTCTCCGAGTTCAAATGGTCCATCTCTGAGTTCTTTAACATTTTGTTATTTATACTATTAAAGGATGAATGAATGCATAATGTTGAGAAATAATGATACAATTCTAATCTTACAAAGAATATCCGGGAATTAAATTAATTGGTTTATGTATAACTTATAATTAGGGAAGATACAATAAGTTGAAATAGAATTTATTAATTATGTATTAAAATCTCAAGAATGGTTTATTGATCAGATTTTATTTGTGTAAATATAACATAGAATGTGACTTTTTTAAAGAATGGTCATTTAAATTCCAAGTTCTCAAATAATATTTACCTAGAAACGTCCGTATAAATGAGTCATAGGGTTTTCACCGTTAGCTTACAGCTAAACTTTCAAAACTGAGATCTATTTTCTTTGCGTGTAAAATATTTGATTCGTAGCCAAGAATTTGTATTTATGCCTATCTAATATTTAACTCACTCAGAATGCAGCTAACTAAATTCAGCCGGTTGTTTTATTTTTTTTTCTAAGTATATAAGAGAACAATCTAATATGTATCTATGGGAGCAAAATCAATGCATTTTAGAGTAAACCTAAATAAAAGAAAGCTCGACTAATTTTTATGGCAAATTTGACATTATTTCTAGAAATTTCCGTTTGCTTTGAAAAATAACAGAAACCTTGCCTGTTCGTATATTCGATTCTCATTTGTGCTTTAATTATTGTAGCATCAATAATAAAGTACCTGCTATTAAATCTCGTTTAGTAATTGCTTCTTTTAAAACTGCTTACAGATTACTTGTAAAAATATTTTTTGTCAATTTTTGTAATTTTAAGCTTCCTACTTTCATAGTTTTATAAGACATTTTAAAAAACCTATGTTTCCATTTTGAAAGACATTAGTTTATTTTCTTGGGTAAATATGGAGAATATAAAAGCTGCTAAAGATCTTTCATTTAAGGTACAATTCATTTCTTTTGTAACAGTTTTGATACATTTAGCTATATTGAGTTGATTGGTTTTCGTTAATTTTAGTGAAGTGATATTCTAACTCCAAAATAAAACCTTTCGTCCCATATTTCCCATAAAACGTTCATTTTGAATGAAGCGATGTAGTTAACACTAGAGTCACAATTAAACAATACTGATTGTTTTTCTTGTCTTGTTTCCTTTTAGATATATGTCTGAATAATGTTAGCGTTATACTGAGAATTTCGATGTTTGTATTTTGAATTGATAACTGATTAATCTCGTATTCACCAAAGGATCTTAAAATACAAGTTAAATCCAGTAAGATACATGATTTTATACTATTGAGGAATATTATAACTATGTTAAAAACCCTCTCTTTCCTCTCTAATGTCATAAAAATATCGTCAAAAAGGTTTTTAACCCATGACATCATACATTATTCCATGAATATTGTAGATCAACTTAGGAACTAACAACAGAACTCTTGAAATCTAAGCGACACTTGCAGGAATATCTAAATTTAATGTTTAATCGAGTTTTTTTTTGCATAATAACAATATGCACAGTACCTATTAATTTGTATATATATTTGATTTACACTAGGGTATATAAACACTGTTTATCTTAGAATTATTCACTTTATAAGATGGATATATGTCAATTGTATAAAATAAATTCATCAACACTACAATAAACCACATTAGCTTAAAGTCGATGAGTAAATTATTGTTATAACTTGTGAGAACGTGTTCTAAAGTAAAGAATGGAAAAGAATATTTTGGATTGAATTATGTGTATA